GCACCACAATATGCTCCGGAGGGCTGATGTGACCGTGGATTGTCAGTAAGGCCATTACCCCTCAGGTTTTGTATAATCATGAAGTTTGGTATGTCGCACGACGGGTTTGATTCTTGTTGAGAATTGATGTGGCCGATTCTCAACAAGAATCAAACCCGTCGTGCACCGAAACTTTTCCGGGATACTCAATGTGATCATGGAGCATCGGTATAGCCGTAAATGGTTCAATTACATTATTTGAGTGAGAAAATATTATGTTCACCGTGTGTATAGTTATTACAGAACAGTAAAGCCGAGTGCCGACCCATAGTGACCCCAACAGAAACCGAAATATTTCCGGAACCATGTATTAATCCAATTTTTGTCCTGACGGATTCAAAAATTTGAATAGATTCTCCACAAAATGCAACTTGTTGTGCAGAAAAAGATTGAGAAATTATGTTTTTAGGGCTAATCGATTTTTTTTTTAATCCATGCTATTTTTGACGTTAGGTACGCAAAGGTTAAAAACTGTTTATTTTTTAGCAAAATGTATGCGTATAAGTTGAAAATTTATTTGGTTCGTTCTCCAAAAATTCAAACTCAGTTTTTTCAACGCATTTTAAGTATGAAGGAAAAAGCGCAAGTCGATGTAATTTATACCGACTTGAAGGCGGCGTTCGATAAAATTGATCATAACATACTGCTACACAAGTTTCCTTGGTTCATTTATTTATTTCTACTTGTCAACAGATAAAATAGTTACCCTAATGACAATTTTCTATATCTAAACATCAAAATTGCTTCAAACACAAAATTAACGCAAACATCTCTTAAAGCTACGCTTATTTTTCTCGCGGGACACATTAAAATCGAACACATGATAACAACTATTGAAAACGCGGCACATACTCAACATTGGTTCGTGTACGCCATAGTTGGTCTTCGAACGCCGGTTGTTGAAGAACGCATGCAGCCGGAGGTCCCGTCGTTGAGTGTTGATGTCAAGAAGACCGAGAAGTGTGGAGCAGTCGACGTTCCCTTGCAGAAGATCCGCAACGAAACAAGCCTTCGCCACATTACGCCTTCCTTCCAAGAGCTCCAGGTCGATGAGGTTACAGCGACTTTCATAGCTCGGCAAGTTACGCGGGTCGCGCCAACGAAGGTGTCGCAACGCAAAGCGAATAAATTTTCGCTGAACAGCTTCAATTCTATGGATGACATTCTGATAGAATGGCGACCAAACAACGGCAGAGTATTCCAGTATAGGTCGAACCAGGGAACAGTATAAAGCCTTCAGGCAATACACGTCCTTGAAGCTTTTGGCGAAACGGAATAAAAATCCTAGCTGCGATGAAGCTTTAGATACAACATAAGCAATGTGATCCTTGAACGTTAATTTGCAATCGAGCATGACTCCCAAGTCCTTGACAGTCGATTCGCGTTTCAAGCTTATTCCTCTTAAGGTGTAATCGTGGAAATGCATCGCCCGTTTACGGCCAAAGGAGATGACCGAGCACTTGGACACATTTAAAGACATCCTGTTTATCCGGCACCAATGATCAAAGACTTCAAGTTCTTGGTGGAGGAAATGAGCGTCTTGAGGCCCTTTTATTACGTAGTAGAGCTTCATGTCGTCGGCGTACGAGAGTTTAAGGCATTTGAGGATCAAGTTCACGTCGTTCATATACAACAGGAAAAACAATGGCCCCAGGTGGCTGCCTTGAGGAACACCAGATGTAACAATGAAGGGTGGAGAAGCGTAGTCACCGATCTTAACAGACATAGATCTGCCAGTCAGATAGGAGCGAAGCCAGGTAAGTAGACTCCCATGAACACCCATTTTGTCATATTTAGAGATGGTAATTTCATGGTTCACTCTATCGAAAGCTGCAGAGAGGTCGGTGTATATGGCGTCAACTTGATGGCCACGTTCAATCTCACGAATAATGAACGATGTAAAAACAGTTAGATTAGTCGTCGTCGAGCGCTTAGGCATGAAGCCGTGTTGATCCTGAGAAATACTGTACGAGCAGTCTTGAACCAACTTTTCCAGGACAATTAGCTCGAATAGTTTGGAGATAGCACTCAATGCAGCTATTCCGCGGTAATTGGCGACAGTCTGCTTGCATCCTTTTTTGTGAACAGGGAAAACAAACGAATCCTTCCAACATTCTGGAAAAACTCCGGAGGTCATTGACAAGTTGAAGACCTTAGCTAAGGGCTCTGAAAGAGTGTCTAAGCAACGTTTCAGTACTAATGAGGGAATGCCATCTGGACCAGATCCTGTTGATGTTTTCATCTGTTTCCCGGCTGAAATCACCATGTCGCTGTGGATGGTGAATGGTGAACCAAACACCGACGTACGAGCGACATTACTCGTGGCAGCAGCAATTTCCTGAGCATCAAGAACTTCGTCTGAAAAAACGCTGCTGAATTGTGTGCGAAACAAATTGGCGATATCTGCGACGGAGTTGGTATCAGTAACGCCATCAGTCATATTGGACGGCAATCCCGTTTCTTTCCGTTGCTCGTTCACATATCGCCAGAATTCCTTAGGATTAGCTTTGAGACGACTCTGCAAGTGAGACTGATGTGCGTTGTACAAGCTTGCATTGAGATCTCTGTACTCGTTGTTGGCGCGGACGTAATTAGCCTTCGTAGAATCTGTGTGATATTTACTGTGTTTCCTCAGTGCAGCCCTTTTCACCTTTTTCAGATGCTTAAGATCAGAGTTCGACCAGGCGGGTTTGGCAGGTTTACACCGTAGTTTTTTAGGCACAAACTGATCGATAGCGTAGAATATGATACCACACATGGTCGAGGCAGCCAGATTCGCATCCCCGGAGTCTAGTGTCGCATTCCAATCCACATTAGCGAGAAAGTTATTCATTCGCTCGAAGTCTCCTTTGTGAAAGTTGTAGAAGACGGTTTCGGCGTGGTCTTGGAAGCGTTTCTCAGGATCGATTGCAAGCGTCAACAGTAGAGGTGAATGATGTCTGCAGTTTTTGACGAACGGTGCCGGAGCATGGGTAACAGAGCAGCTTTGTCCCAAATCCTCCCCGACAAAGCACAGATCGAGCAAACGGTTGTTTGCATTCAGAACGCCATTCACTTGCTGAAGCCTTGCGGTTGAATACGCGTCAAGCAAGGAGAGAGAAGCCGGTCTGAACGATGAACGGGAATTGTCAGGAAAGAAGAAGCCGTGAGCATCGCTAAGCCACGATACAGTGCCAAGGTTGAAATCGCCCAAGATGACGATGCTGTCCCTGGCATCCATTTGAGAGACAATCCAATTCAGCGAAAGTACATGCTTCTCAATCAGGCTGTGGTCGTTAACGCGGTCGGGAGGAACGTATATCACGCAGATATAGATTGTACCACTTAGAGTTGAAATTGCAACCCACAGATGCTCAACCGTCGAATCTTCTTGGAGTTTCTATTCAATTGTTTTTTTGGTTGGAATCCTATCTTACAGAGCGTGTACTTTGAGTGAAGGTTGAGGGTTGTGTATCTTCGCCGTTTTCAAACAAGTCTGGAGTTCCGCAAGGTAGTAATCTCGGACCGTTGCTGTTTATTCTGTTCTTCAACGATGCTGCTTTGGTTTTGGGCGAAGGATTCAAACTGGTCTATGCAGATGATTTAAAACTGTACATTGTGGTGCGCATGCAAGAGGATTGTTGGCTTCTGCAAAACTCGCTGACTTTGTTTGCCGATTGGTGCCAGAGAAACAAACTGACTATTAGTGTGGAATAATGTCAGATAATTACGTTTCACCGCATGGTACATCCAATTTTGTTTGACTATCATATCGACGGCGATACTCTTACCATAGTTACCAGTGTGACTGATCTAGGGGTTCAACTAGACACAAAAATGACTTTTGATTTACACCGTTCAGCGCTCATATCGAAAGCAACGCGACAGTTGGGCTTTATTTCCAAAGTTGCGAAGGATTTTTCGGATCCACATTGTTGGAAGTCATTGTACTGTGCACTTGTCCGTTCAATTTTGGAAAATGTGTCCGTCGTTTGGCATCCTCACCATGTCACGTGGTGCCTAAGGATCGAACGGGTTCAGAAACGGTTCATTCACGGTTCACTGAGAAACTTGCCGTGAAGTGATCCTGACAATTTGCCGCCGTATCCTGATAGATGCCGACTGTTGGGCTTAGACACACTGGAACAACGACGGAAAGTACAGCAATCGTTGCTTGTTGCTAAGCTGTTGAATGGTGAAACTGATGCCCCCGACCTGCTTGCGATGTTGAACTTTCGTGTGCCGAGCAGATCTCTTCGGAATACAACGCTACTGCAACCAAGTTTTCACCGAACCATGTTTGGGAACAACGAACCAATCTCAGCGTGTATTCGTGCGTTTACGGCTGTCGAAGAGTTTTTCGAGTTCAATGAACCAACCGAACGTTTTGCAAATCGGATTAGGTCTGTGTAAAATTAGCTCTAATTTATTCATTAGGACTAAATTGTCAGATGAATTATTTTAAATACAAATACAAATACAAATAATTTTTCCATTATGTTGAAACAGTAGACTGTAGAATTTTTTGGCCCACAGAAGAATTGATTATTTTATAAAGATTTTATAAGATCTCTAGAATTGAATTACACCCAACCCAGGTGTAACATGAAACAACATTTTCCATTGCTACGAGAATTTTTGTCTTAAACAAAAAAATAGATGGGATTTTGACGAAGATTTGTGTGATAGTCAATTCATCCAGTGACGATAGGAAATATAATTTTGTTAATACCACATTTAATTTTTCCTATTGTTTCATGACTTCCAATTATTTAGAAACTAAACATAAGTACTCTTTCTGTTCAAGCGATATATGGCAGCCCTACCCGGTGGACATGAAACCAGGAGTCAGGAGTCAGGTATCCCTGGTTAGGTACCACTGCTCCATTGTATAATCAAGAAAGGCAATGGATGTAAACGAACTTCTCACGGTCTCCTCATTATAATCAGAAATATCGAAACTCGCTCCTGATGTTACTCACCTCCAATACGCTTCCTATTTCCGTCGATATATCATTTACATTCATGCCAGTACAGACGATCTTACACCCGCTCTTGAATGAACAGCAATGGTCAGATACTGGCAGGACAAGACTTTTTCCGTTGATTTCATCGATGGTGCCAAATTCCACCGCTTCTTCTGCTGTATCATTTTCACTATGAATGTAACAGCAAATATCAAACATACTTCCATCTCTACCCAATATCACAAGCCAAATCTTACCCAGTTTCATCCATCACAATTGAATGGTTGTGAAAAATATCCCTCAGGACCCATGCGATAAGCAAGGAAAAACAAATCACGCAAAACACGACCGGAAGCCAACGCCTCTTCCTGTTGTTCATGCTCCATTTCGATTGACTGTGAAAAAAATATGATCGATTCGTCAGCTTTATCCTTTCTCATCGTCAATCATCTCGTACAAAGCACACACCTTTTCTTCAATTCACAATCCTGTGGCTCACTGATGTTGAAAGACTTTACACCAATTATTCCACGCATTTGACTTCAGAATTGCCCACCGTTTCAAAAATAGACAAAAAATCACATCCGTAAACTTCAACTCCTTCCGAATCAAGATCAAACGAACAACTGAACCACTCAATGACATATCCTTTCGCCCATATCGATTTATGATAATTACCACCGCTTATCTTTGATACGGGAAAATAAAAGCTGCACAATCGAAACGAATTTATTCTAATCAATTGTACAAATAAACTTCGTCGTCGGTCACAGCCAGCGCCACTCGAACCAATCATCCAATGTCATCCTTCCGGTCATGCCTTTCTGCTTTTGCTGGTGGTCGATGTGGAAAGTCATAAATTCGCTCGAATGTGTTTACCCAACGTATGTAAATTGGGAACGATTCGCGATAGCATCGCGTTCGGTTTGATAAATGGACTGATAAGAACTCGGAGAGCCGGTGTGAGTTATCGGTATGATTTTTCCGATTGTGATGTATGATTGGGAAAATTCTTGACTTCACACATTGATTACAATTGGTGGATTGGATTGAATTGTTGCTTATGCATTCATTTCATATGCTTTTTGATCCAATCAACAAAGCTGCTAACGCGAGCGTAAACACCCGGAACGCCTTGATTTCCACAACCGAGGCCCCAGCTCACAACTCCGTACTGATACCAATAACCATCACTTTCCGGAGCTACCAGACATCCACCGGAGTCGCCTTGGCACGAGTCCTTCCCAGCTTCTCCTCCAGCACACAGTTCCGAGTCCTTCAGTTCAGGATAGACCGCATGACAAGTTTCCGAATCTGCTCCATGAACGTCAACTTCCAACTTGTATCGACTACCATAAACACCTGGTGCTTCTTGGCCCCGCTCTGTAGTACCCCATCCAATAACCGTGAAATGTTTCCCGTCGATAGTCTGATTCTGCAATTCCTCCGTCAGAGGCAAACATACCGGCGAAATAAACTCGGAGAAGGTGACCGGCTTTGCCAGCTTAATCAGCGCAACATCGTTATGAATATTCTTTGAATCATAGCCTTCATGAACGACGTAGCTTCCGACATCGACATCAACCGGCTTGTCAGTGCAAAGGTTATCATCGTTGCAATCTTCCTCGCTCTTAAGATCCCACTCACCGAGCCGCACACGTACTCTGTAAATTGAGAAGATTTGATTCACTCACCACAACAAACACCCATCCCATGTGATGATGTCTTACACGTGAACCCAATCGGGAAGCTCCCGGAAACAGTGAGCAGCAGTCAGAACGAACCGATCGGAGATTAACGATCCACCACACGCGAACGATTCGGAACCACCGGCACGAGGCTCCACCACCAGCAAAGCAGTCCACGGATAAGCATTGATTGCAGTTTTGGTTCCTCCCAGGATGCGATCCGCTAGGTTGACACCGCAGACACCGGGTTCGGGTAGGGTGTACTGCTCCGTTGCAGCCGGTTCAGCTTCGTCGGCAGCTGGGAAGAAATGTGGAATTTAGATGATTTCTCAACAATTTTAAGTTAGGTAATTTACTCGGGAATGCTGTCGAAGCAGTGGTCAGCAGCAGTGCCACTGCAACAACGATTACGACCATTGTTTGCTTTATGAAATTGAACGATTCTAAGTGACTGCTTTGAAGGAACTGATCACGCTGCAAATTAAAATGCCATTTTATAAGCAACAACCGGCTTCGATCGGAAGGTTTCGTTTGAATCATTATCAGTTTTATGAATGCTGCATAAGGACTATACCTCAGTGTTCCTGATGTTGATGGAATAGATTACTGTTTTTGTTTATAAACATATTGATGGCCAGATCATGCCCCTCTCGGAATAGAAGTTATATGCATTCATCGGATTTGCTCGATCAAAAGGTTAGCTGTTCGAGGTTTATAAATCAATACACTGAATAATTTGACGATATTGAACTTTCTTGAAGTTGCCTTGCGTTGCGTTTGTAACGGAGTAATTCGTAGATTGCATACTAGCAACTGACATGTATCTACTTGAACGCAATTCTTCTGATTGCTTAAGGACATCTATTTGGGAGTGAATAGCTCTCCAAACAGAGTTCAGAACATGAAAAGCATGACAATTACCATTGCCGGCCACGTCCATCTTCTCCGTTACGGGGAAATGAAGGATATTGTTGGTGTATCATCTACTTAGCTAGAGGCAAGCGACTCACCGACGCCACCCATATTTGGATGGTACGGAGTTGGATAGTTTGGTAGGAGATGGGTCAGCATTTGCTTGAGTAGGCACAAACTGGGGCAGATCAGTGAATTTCTCATCAGTCCGCATCGTGCTCTCTTGCCGTGCGGATCTATTTGCTTTTTGCTGAAGGAAGTGTTACTACTACCTAAAGCTACAACAAATTTAAACAGCACTTTTCAGTGCTCAACTTTTAAAAAATTTCTACCTTGTTCAACTCTTATTCCTCTTCGATCCTTGTTTGGACCCTACCCGAGGTAATCCTTCTTGGATATCGATTTGGAAAATTCCTCTTCGATCCTTCAGATTATTATAGTAATCAGCTTGGAAGTCGATTTGGATAAAAATTTACTGCCGCCATGGCGCCTAAACGCAAAAGAAAGGGGCAAACTCTTGATCCCCCTTCTGATGAAATTAATTTGAGTAATCAATTTGCTTTACTCACGGATGATGAGAATGATCCATCATCCAAGAAAAATTCTAGTAAACTTTCCCGGCTTAATGCCAAGAAGGAAAAGCTTCCCCCTATTGTGATAACCACTTCCGATTTCCATGCTCTTCGCATGGAACTTTTGAAGTTCGTGAAAGTAAAATGTTCACTACAAATTGGAGGACGAGGTGAATGTCTTCTCAAGTATCTTACTGAGAAGCAGCACACATTTTTTACTTACGACACCAAAACTGAACGTGTGTTCAAGGTTGTCACGAAAGGACTGCCCAGTGGTGAATCCCTGGATCAGGTCAAAGATGAACTGGCAAAATTACTTGGAGTTGTGCCACTCCAAGTAATCAAAATAAAAATAAAATACCGTCCCGGCAATTCGCGCAACGGGATTTCTAATGATTTTTGACGTAGAACTACGTCTTTGTTGACTATACCGGGGTGCAAATCAAAAAAATATGTGTGGTAAAATAGTGTTAGGTTTTGAACGCTTGTAATTTTGTCATTTATAGATGAAAATAAAATCCAAATACGCCAATCGATAGTTTATTACATTACAAATCTGCTGAAATAAATTTTTTTATTTTTATTTTTTTACAAAAAATGTTTGAAAAATGTACAAATGATAATTTTATCTCTGTTTTCATGTAATAAACGATTTTCCCTAACCCAGTCGTCATAATCGAGTACCATTTGGTTGTACATGGTTCTGCTTGAACCTGAAAAGAAAGATATAAAACAGCGCTGCTGTCATGCCTATGATCATTAACGTTTCGGACGGCGTGGTACTTGGTCCTGCAGCAAGCAGTAGCAAGTCAGCGGATTAAGGTGGATCATGGCGTGACCACCTATCACAATGAGGAAATGAGGAACTTGGAAAAGTTATACATGTAAAACACCCCCTCCCCGGTGCCTTAAACGACAACTCGAAAAATACATGGACTTATAACTTTATTCCGGGAAATAAATTATAAGTAAACTACAATTATAAGTAAAAGCAAAAGTTTAATTCCGCTATTTTTTTACCCGCTTACCATAGAGCCAAAACTTTCAAATTTGAGAAAAAAATGTTACTATCTACCTTTATATATGCAATTATATTAATATCCGAAGTCCAGCCTTTTTCACATATTCTGCACAAAAGATACTTTCTGCCCCGTCCCATTTATAAAAAACGGCGGGAAATCCTATCAGGTGCGGTTGCCCATCGTTTTGCTTGAACCTGAAAAGATATACGCTGCTGTCGTGCTTTTGCTCATTACCGCTTCAGACGGCATGGCACTTGGTCCTGTAACAAGCAGGATCAAGTCAGCGGCTAAAAGTGGACGGCGTGATCACCTTTCACAATTAGAAATGAGTCTTGGGACCCGTTTCACTAAACGCGGAAAAGTTATATGTGCCAAACCGGTTCATGAGTTGATGGGTCGTTAGATAGGGTCCAGGTGAGGGAGCTGCCTCCCTGGCGTCGGTAGCATTGGTGCTCGGCACGGAAAACAAATCAAGGAAAAATAAGTGAACCATAACCGAAATATTGAAATGCTAGAACAATTTAAGATAAAGTATAATAGTCAAAAATGCATAACATACATCAATTTTGCGTAGTTCTACGTCATACTGCGGTCGTGTATAGGATAATACCCTATTATTTTTATTTAGTTCACTTCAAGTCTAGTGAACTAAACTACCTTAAGGCCTTAAAAAAAGCTAGCCTTATGCTCCATGTCCGAGTGAAGTGGGAACACTTCAGGAAGGCTGGAGGAAATTTCCAAAACCTCACTCAGTGCCGTAAGTGCCAGGGATGGGGTCTCGGAACTAAAAATTGCTACATGCCAGCTAAATGCATGAATTGTGGCGATTCCTCTCACGCAAAGGACGACTGTCCTGTGAAGGAAGATCCTAAGAAATTTAAATGTTCAAATTGTGGTGAAAACCATAAATCCAATTTTTGGGAATGTAAGACTCGCAAAGCGATCCTACAATCTCGTTCTAACCGCCAGGTAGGAAACGCTCCACGTTTCCGACCAGGTACAAATTCCTCTGCTGTTAACAACGGTCAGCGAGGAACAAATTCTACATTCGTACCCGTAGGTACAAATACCACCCCTGCTTCAAATGTTTCATATGTACCTATGTTGCTATTGCAACGGGTAGAATCCAAAATACTAACCAACGTTCTAACGGAAATTTTGACAATTTTGACTTAGGAAGCATTACTGCCCCTAAAATGGAATTTTTACAGAAATCATTAATTTACATGCTTTCTGATATGCTTAAATCTAACTCCATGTTTGATGCTATTCAAACTGGAGTAAAATTTGTAAATAATATGGATAACGTGGATTTTAAAGCATTAAATATTTTAAATTGGAATGCTCGATCTCTTAAAGATAATGAAGACGAGCTATTTAACTTTTTGAGAGTTCATAACGTGCATATTGCCGTTATAACTGAAACGTTCCTTAAACCTGACCATAAGGTTAAAAAGGACGCAAATTATTTTATTTATAGAAATGATCGTCTTGATGGTCACTATGGTGACGTTGCCATCATTTTTCATAGACGAATCAAACATAAAATTCTTTCTTCAATTGAAACCAAAGTTTTTGAAACTTTAAGGATAAATATAAAGAAACAAGAGACAGCAATGAGCGATACAGGATTTTAACCACACTTCCCAAAAGTTGGTCTACATATAGAATTATGAAGGAGTTCAATGTTTCCCAACATATGGCCAACCAAGCAAAAGCACTGCAGCAAGAGAAAGGAATAATGTCGGTGCCTGTAAAGAGGTTAAGCAGAGCTTCATTAGGAGAACCAACGATAATGCTTGTTTGTGATTTTTACAATAGTGACGATATAAGTCGTGTTTGTCCGGGGAAAAGAGATTATTTAATATCTAAAAATGATGAAGGCGAAATCTACGTACAAAGAAGATTAGTTTTGTGTAACTTGCAGGAGGCGTACTCCATCTTTAAAAATACATATCCTGATATTAAAATAGGATTTTCCATGTTCGCCAGTAACCGTCCGAAACACTGCATTTTGGCAGGGACAAGTGGCACGCATACTGTATGCGTTTGTATATATCATCAGAAAGTTAAACTTATTTTTAAAACACTATAAAGCAGACAATCACTCCCAGATGGTGTTGATTCCTATCACGATTTGTTTAAAAAAATAATTTGTCAAAATCCAAGTGAACAATGCTGGCTGCAGTGTTGCAAAAATTGTTCAGGAACGCAAATTTTGGCCACAGAACTAATGACTATTCTTAGTAACGGACATGTTGAATCAATACAATTCAAACAATGGCGTCAAGTAGAGCGATGCATTATGGACTTAGTTGAAATGGACACACAGGAATTTATTGATACTTTTTTAGAAAAATTATTCAATTTATTGCCGCATAACTTTATAGCTGAGCAACAGGCAAATTACATGAAACACGTCAAAAGCAATTTGAAAGCTACAGAATGCATCATAATCTGTGATTTTTCGGAGAATTATTCTTTCGTTGTGCAGGATGCAGTTCAAAGCTTTCATTGGGCGAACGCCCAATGTACTATTCACCCTTGTGCTATTTATTTTAAAGACGAAGAATCTAACGATTTGAAATTTACTAGGTTTATTTCAATTGCTGATTTCACTAAACATAATCATGTCGCAGTTCGTTTATTTCTTACGCATTGTCTAGCGTTCATAAAATGTAAATTGCCAAGCTTACAACAGATTTACTTTTTCTCAGATGGATCAGGAAGCCAATATAAAAATAAGATGACCGCTTTTAATTTATGCAACATGCAAAAAGATTTTGGCATTGCTGCCGAGTGGAATTTTTTCGCAACTTGTCATGGAAAGGGCCCTTGTGATGCTTTGGGAGGAGTATCAAAACGAAACGCTGCGAAAGCGAGTTTGCAAGGCCACCATATAACAACGGCCCAAGAACTTTACTCATGGGCTATTTCTAAGCCAGATTCAAAAATACACTATC